TAAAAATTAAAATGTTAATTATAATGATTTTTAATAATAACAGAAAAATAAATATACTAAACATACAAGTTTTCCTTCTATTTTTGTATTTTCAGTAATTTAATGAGTTCCTGCAAGATGTGAAATGAGATTACTTGTTAAATTTTCACTTAGATAAAGCCGTTCACACAACTTTTTATCTGTTATTTTAATTACACATTCAGTACCAGTTTTTCCATTATCAAGTAACACTGAATCATACCATTTTCATACCAACTTTTAAGTTTGTCAGTTTTATCAAGTGTTTTTAATTTTTTAACACTATTTCCTGTTTTATAATTTTTAGAACGTTTGTTTGAGGGTTTATCAAAAGGTTCAATTAGATTATTAACTTCTCTTTCATTATTTTGATTACTTAAAGGTAAGAGTGAAATAGTTTCTTCAGCTATTATTATATTTTAAATTTTAATACAAGAGAAACGGAATAATACAATAAAGGATTAAAATGTGATTTTAACTCTCATAGTAAATCATACGATCATATGATGTTTGATATATGATTTTTTTAAAAAAATATATTTTGCCGTTACATTTTTTGTATCAAACAATCGATTTTGTATCATTTGAACTTAAGAATTTTTTTAAAAAATTTTATTACTCTAACGGATTATTTATTAATATATAAGTATTTACAGATATTCATCAAATAATCCACAGATATTTGCATAAATTTGTAACATATAAAAATGATCTGTCTATCTGGATATTTGTGTTATCCATACAGATTATAATTTATGAATCACTTCTCTATAGCGCGCTATATTAATACTAAATCACATGATTTACCTGTGATTATACAAAGGGTATTTTTCTTATATTTACTATGATACCAGGACTGACAATTGGTGTAATTGTGCTTATAATGATATAGTGACTAAAAAGGGATATTTTATTATTTAAAAAATCGGGACTGAGCCTTGATGTAACTAAAGGAAAAGAGTGACTATATAGGAGGTGACTATAAAGGGGATAACTGTACTAAGATATATAAGATATGATAAAAGTTCAGAATTAATTGAAAAAGAAATATGTAAAAAGTTAATATATAGAATAATAGCAAATAGAGGATTTGAAAATCTAATGAAAAAATATTGTGAAAGTATATTTAGTATAGAAATAGAAGAAAATATCATTATGGAGAAAAAAAAAATATAATAAAAGAAAATAAAAATAAAAAAGAAATAATAATGGAAGAATCAAAAGAGAAACTAGAAGAAAAAAATATTTTAAGAATAATATGTAAAAATAATGGACTATATGAAATCAAAAGAAAAGAATTAAAATATAAAAAATATTTGAAAATAAGAAGAAAATGAAAATTTCATTAAAAATATTTAAGTAATAAAAAAGAAATAGATGAAATATTTAGAAGAATAAAGAAAATGGTTAAACAAGAAAATATAAAGAAAACTGATAAAAAGAAAATAGAAAGAAATACAGAAGATATAATAAAAATAAAAAAAATAATAGACATAATAAAAATAAATAAAAATAATATAAATATAAAAGAATTAGAAAAATCTGAAATTAAAGAAAATTCTAATAATAAATAGAGGACCTATTCTAAATATTTTTAAATCAAATAACTCAGACAATTTGTCTCAAGAAGCAATTGAAAAATCAAGTGAAAGATAAGAAAAAAATAAAACCTTAAATACCGTATACTTCCAAAAATAAGCATCCCCCGAAAATAAGCACTCTCACATTTATATATATGCTAAAAATAAGCACCCCCGAAAATTGTAACACATTTTATTATATTTATAATAAAAGAAA